GCATGAATGTTTATGGGTATATCCGGTATTATTCAACTAGGGCGTGATGTGTCTAGGAGAAAAACGGATGCAATACGCGTATCAGCTGGAGAATTACTCGTTTTTCTAACCATTTTTCATGTCTGTGGGACATCACCATCTGCCTAAACTGAGTGTATTCCCTGAGCGTGTTGTCTCGTCCGCCTTGTCTGGTACCGGTGGACAAAAACTGTCCTGTTCCAATTAGTGCGTCTGTCTTGAAAGTCGACAGGCTTGCTTAACTAATATGAACTTCAACGATGTGGTAAGGTGAGTTTAGAGTAGTTTTGAATTGGCCAAACCAAGTTTTACATCAAGGAACCTACCTCGGTGTGACGGCATACGGTAGTCTTTAGCATCATGCACTGAACGTATTCATTTGAAAATCGCGTCCATTGGAAACTGGACGTGCAATCTGGGTTGTTTGTTGAATCGGTCGGTGCGATTGGTGGGCACACACCAACGAAATATGAGATTTTCATGTATTCAGAAGAACGGCGCACATGGGAAAATTTTGGCCACATTAATAGTGACCCATTACTTACTCTGACCTGTGATAGGTGTATTTTGCTCTGACGGCCTCAGACGATCGCATCTACGCTACCTGTGCTCACCGTCACATTCCTCGGAGTCCAGTCATATGCAAGAAAAGTACAAAGCGACCGTTATCGTCACGGAGTTATTTACGGATTCCGAGAAGTATTAATGTCAATTCAGTTCTATCAATAAGCCAAAATAACCTCGACTTCCTACGTTAACGCTGATTGTAGATTATTCGCATATTTTTCTGTCCACTAGCCATAAACGGCCATGCAGACACTTCCTCACCCGGCTGTATCACTGACAAACACTATTGGATGAAAAAGGATGAACAAATGAAGTAGATATTGTCAAAAATTGCTGGTTAGGTAATTCATCCGTGAATAACCATGCGACCCGATCAACCGGTTAAGTCAGGAAATCGGTGAGAACTTGAACAGACTGCCCAAAAATTATTATGGCATTCGCTTACTCGTGAGTAGTCTAAAAGTTATCTGATTTGCCGACTCAGGAAACCAAGGCAGGACAACCCACAGCGGTGTTTGTCATCGATTGAGACTCTCCGATAGTCGTCCTCAATCCGTTCGGGAACCTCAGAAAGATTTACTTCTGAGTAACAGATATGCATGCAAATTAAGGAAATTGCAAACTGTAGTTGTGTAACTGTGAGACACAAGTGAATCCATCATCTATGTTGTTCGTGACCGGATCCAAAGAACGGAGGCTATTGCAAGATTAGATTTGAGGTGTCAAAGGGCATCTGAAGCGTAGATGTATTTCCTTCATTTAGGTCTTACAGATATTTTTGAAAGATGGATTGGATCTAGCCAACAGAACGTTTTGAGGTTCACTCTGCCGAGGAAACATCAGCTATACAAATTTCAATCAACCTTATTCGTTACTCTGACAGCATAGACGAGAAATTCATTGGAGCCACATATTACCTCTACTTCTGTTCTCCAATAGGTGACTTCTTCAGTATATGCCAACTTGTGTAGCGAAACGAAAGCACACGTTAGCTGAAGCCTCTGGTTGCTGGCGTTATTTTCCCACCAAAGCCACAGATAGAGGTTGCTTACACCTTAACCGGTGACAACTTTTCCAATCGGGCAGAACAATGGGAGCTGCCGCAGCATCCAACAACAGTATCGTTTAACTCACTGCATCTTCGGTAATGTTATGCTTGCTATTTGCTATATCTGTGCAGAAATATTGATGGGGATGCTTCTTAATATTTGTTGGAGCCACTCAATCAACTCACAATGTACCGAAGTGCATGTTTCCAGCTGCTACAGCTGAGGAAGGGGAGGATAAGGGAATGAGAGCCATGTGCTGAAGTCGATCGCCGAATCTGTGCGCTGACGTCGAATGGACCTGCTCGCCTGGTATGGTGGGAACTGAGAGCTGCACAGTGAGGGCAATGGCTTTGGCACAAAACCGCCTTTGGTTGTGACAACCATACCTCTCAGGATCCCTCGTACCGCGATCCCTATTGAGAGAGATGACAGTTACCATTGCGGCTCACTTTACTGGAACGGACTGTCATTTTTCAGTGACAAGTCGTGAAATGATCAACCCTAAGTAATCTCTATCCGCCAAAAATCTGAACGAAGAGGGTTCTACGAGGTGAACGGTCCTCTGGCATACGAGAGATCGCGGAGTGTGGGATGAGTGCGTAAACTGACCAGTCAATCTATGGAGTGAGAGTGGACTTTCCCGAAAAGCATCTGGCGCACTAAGCAGTAATGATCCGATGTTATTGCCAGACGCCCGCAATGCTTCGGAAGCACCGATGGTCAAACACTGTCTTCGAATATCTGGCTCTCCGAAGACCGATCAACCTTCGAATGAAAATACCTGGAAGCTCAGGGTTTTCGCACGATGTTCTCGCACCAATTTTGAACGCGGAAATTACCGTACAGGCATTCCATTCTATTGGAATTTTTTCCTCATTGTAGATATTTTGGAGTAGGGTCAGTGGATGAACCAGGACTGATTCACCATCTTCTTTGAACAGTACAGGGTGCGAACCTTTTGTACCAGGCTTCGTCGATGTAATGGAATGGAAATTCCACGCGTAACTTCTATCAACAATGGCGTTCCCCTTGGATTCATTTGGTCCCTCCAGAGGGTGAGTTGATTGGTCCCAGCCTATCGTTTAAGACGTCTCTGTGGATAAACAGAGGTCCCATCCTTTTTGGGGACAGCTTCACTAACACTCACCATCCTCGGAGCAGCTGATCGGATTAGCTGGAACAAGGACGATTGTTTCCTGCTGCAAAAGCTTCCTCCATTTACATGAATTCTGCGGTCTACCAGACGTCAAATTCAAACTCTTCATCATTCGGTGTTTGAAAGGTCCACGTGCACCAACAGTCGTTTATGCTAGTATAGTTTTCCTGGCTGGAGTGTGCGAGTGACCTCGGGTAGACGGCTTCAAGAGCAGCGAGCACGGCTCCTACAATATCTCCTCAAAAGTCATCCAAATCATCATTGTAACCAACGTACCCGTCGAGTTCTGCAAGCTTACCAACTTACCCAGCTCAATACTGGTGAGCCACAGAAACGCCTTGTAGGTGATGAACTGGATGAATTTGTACAAACAGGGTTTTCCCGACGGAAAGCGAGGAGATAGCTCTCCACTGGTAGTTGACTGCCAGAGTACAAGGCTAGTTTGCCGTTGGTGGCCTCCAAGTCACACGGTTCGGGCAACGGGGTCGAAAGTTTGAGCTCGCAAGAAACAAATATGCAGCACGTCACTAAAGAAATGGTTCTCCATTATCTGCGGGGTGAGCATCATCCTCTGAATCGGCTGCCAAAATGGGCATCCTCAGAACCCAACTGGCCAACCTGATTATTCATATAACTTGCGAGAATTACAAGGTCTGGCTGGCCGGAGCAATCGTGACAAATCACGATAGAAGCTACCTGAGCCAACACATACGAATTAAGATAATTCGGCTCCGGCTTTTGATGACAGGATATGTGGGCGAATTGCGGCGTCCAACCAGACATAATACCGGTCATAATTTAATACCTTCCTTTGCATGACATTAATTCTATGGAGGCGAGTAGAATCTGTCGCCTATACAGATAGGCCTTCGAATCGCTTTAGTGGCACTTCTGGCAGTGTAAATATGGGAAGCAACGGTCTTCGAGTGAATACCTTTCAGTGCGACCTCAGTGAGCAAGCAAAGCCGTCATCTAGAGAGCAGGATAGCGTATGAGGATGAATCATTTCAACTTGGAGACCAATACTGTTTTCCTTTCGGAAACAACTCCCTCGAAGGAGCACCATTGTATTAACAAACTGCTTCTGCAGGACAGTCACGCTGTGTAGAACGATCGAGTGACTGCTGAAACATCGAGGATCACAGGACAGTTGTGGGCTTGATGCACCTTAGTCATATCACGTTATTCTCACAAATCACATACAAGGTAACTCCCAACTACAACAAAGCTATTCATAAAAATACGGTGATGAGTGTGAATACCATACTAACAACCAGGGCTTAGCTAGCGTGCAAACGACAGAACTGACTCTCGTGCGCCTTGCTGCAGTGAATAGCTCGGACGACGGATTGGAAGATAACGGGATGATTTGACATGCAGTCACATTCTATTTCCTTGTAATGAAACCTATCCGAATTCGTCATAACAAAGAAAACAGTGGACCAATGATATCGAAACTGCTAGTTTCTGAGACCTAAAGACAGTCTCCATGAGGTCCTAACCGAAATGGATCAATTAGAAAATCAGTAAATTCAAAAGGACGAGTCTTTTATCGAGTCAACATATGCTTTACAAAACTCCTGATTTGTGTCCCATCGAAGAAGCCTACTGTCGGGTGCAATAGTTAGCCTGTGTGCAGTGAACCTAAAAAGCAAAAATGAACACTTGATTTGTACACTAAGGCTAGTAATATGGATCAAGATTTCATCAAAGTCAACCACCCTTGGGCTCGTGATGCAATTGTGGGAGAGTACCGGAGAACGTTGGAGCTCGTCATACCGTATCGGCATTATGGCCAAATGAGCAGGGATAATTCATGGTTGATTTCTGACGGAGATGCAGTCTAGGCCTGGAACATGCAGCTCTCCAACGACTACACCATGAGAAGTGGGACCGAGTCTCTTTCTCAGGTGAGTGTCGTCATCCGATTCGGAGTCACTAAAATAATAAAGAACACTCTCAAAAGGATCTTCTCAGTAGAAGATTTGACAGCGACGTTTAGGATCAGATTGGTGGCATACCGATGTACTAGTTGTTACCAGGTTTAGATTGTCCTCTGTGATCACGCCGGTTACACTGTGGCTACTTAGCAAACGGAAGGTCGAACGGGAACCCACTGAAGTGGCACCCGCCAACCGCAATTCGATCAGTACAGTTGCTTGCTCTCCCATCTTTTGACGTCGAAAAGATACAGCGATAGGAAGAAAGTGTTTATATTTACAAGTTCAATTTCGATGAGGAAGACAGCACAGTAACCAAGTGCAAAGACAGGATCAGATTTTCACAGCACTGGCTGCATAGTTGACCGCCATGCTTTTGTTCCAGGACCAGCGATCCGTTAAAGGGTTGTAACACATGCCGACGAATTTATTCGGATGTAGACCGTCTAAATTTTGTCAAAACAATGGCAGAAGGTTGATGAGTATATTTCATTAGGCTGGTGGAGTGTGCGCATGTTGAAACACCCCAACGGATATATCTAAACATGATTGTATTAGATGGTGCCATTCACAGGACGATGGAAACGAAGGGAATTTTCATGTCAATGAAGTAAGTTTAAACCTCGATAAAAACATTACACATAAATTTGACCCTGACAGGAGACTCAACTAAATCCAGCTCAATCTCTCGGTTATGATGGCCCGCTTTAAATGAATGTGTTGTACCAGATCGCCTCATGTTTCAGTTGGTACGAATGTCGCAATGAGCTATCGTCTAGGTATAAGATGCTACTCATAAGGTTGCTGAAAACTCTTCGACAGTCCACGACCGTCCAAGTAAGTTGGTCAGGAACAACATGGCAGTACTCTTTGTATCTATTCAGATAAGCAAAATCTGATTGCATCAGGTACACAACTGTGATTTTCTCTTGCATGTAGGCTTTTTCTCACAAGATCCTGATAACAAGTTCCCTCCCCCCTAAGAAAAAAATTGGCCGACAAACAGAAGGGCAAAGAAACCCCGTCTAATTTTCTTGAGCTACGTGAATGTGGAATCTTGGATCAAATCAGTCTAGTCCCGACTCTACTATAAAAGCCCCACTAGTTAGGAGGTCAGTTGAGAAACCGCCGTTGTTTGGCACCACTGGCGACGTTTTATCCAGCAATAAGCGCACACAACGCAGTTGGATGGACCGATTGACAGTTGATAATTTGTGGTGGTTTAGACGATGGTGCAATATGTTTGACGGTTGAAAAGTCATGGAGTATAAACTTCAATCAAAACCCCAATTTATGCAATAAATTCGGACGACGTAACAAGTATGCAAATGAAGAGGAAACCCACGCACTTTGTTGTGGATTGTAGCTGAATAACAGGTGGCAAGCATGACTTACTTTTGATCATGGCTGATTGTAAACGGACTGGAGAAACAAACTTCTGCCATTCGTGGGTTCCCCGAGGAACAACGCGGGCGATGTACTCAGCACCCACAATACCAAACAGAAAGGACGCTGCTGTTTGGTTGATGGTGGTTAGAAAGAGCATCCCACCGGGCTGTTGAGGGCATAGAACATACGTGATGCAATAAATATGGGTGAGAGGTCAGTGATTCGGGAACTATGCGATAAAGTGAAGGCCTGTTTACTGTCATGTATGTGCGGCTTCAGTGCAGAAATCTCGTCTGTACAGTGGGCATGGAAACTTGGTCGTTAACCAGATATTATCGACCGAAGTGGCACCAGGAGTAGTGACAAGGTATTCTCAACCAACTCGCCAGTAAGCCAATGGATACCAACGGAAACCGAGCTACCGGCATTCTTCATACCAGTAGAACAAACCTCAATTCTTCATCAGCAAAGTAGTTGAGGAGAACTAGGTGGTCAGACAGCCTTATTCTGTCGCGATTCGTACTGTAAGAGAGGCAAATCTATGCTGAATAGTCAGGAAAGAATGCATGGGTGTTTCATTCTTGTTTGAAATCATCAGCAGTGCGCACCTCCAGGGTGATTCAAACTCGCAACCTCCCAGCTAATAGTCGATCACTAAACCGTTCTGTCACCAGCGGCTGATTGGCGGTGTGATTAAACCACACTTAATGAGTGTCGCTACATCCTGACTAGGTGCGAGTTAATCACATCATCTTCAAATACTGGTCGAGAGGTTGAAAATTCGTTAGATGCACATCGCTGATGATGAAGCAGTTGCAAACTGTTTTTCGGCTTCTCGTCGGAACTGGGCTTCTCTTACAGTAAAAGTTCCCGCATTGTCAAATGGCCTATTGTCACACTTCTTATTTGGCACACTCGTGGGTATCGCGAAGATTAGGTCCCAAATCGAAAGCCGTATGAAATTAACGTACAAGCACGTTCTCAGAAGACCTGGAGCTCTGTGATTTATACATTGTGGTTCAGGTTTCTAACCGCAGTCGCTGTCCTGAATTTCACTCATGTCAACCACCGGTTAAAATACATTCAACTGCAGTCCTTCGAAATCCGAAAAGAACTAAAGCAAAGAGAAAACAGTAAGCGCTTAGTCCTCAAGGTCTGAGTCTAGTTACGTAGGACATACTGGGTTTCTGGAACCGTGTCTGTGCAATTTCCTATGTCAAGTCGGGTTCGGATAGATGGAAATTACTGACCTGAAGACGGTACATGGGATAATAAATCTAATCAAAAGAGCAGAACATAACATTCGAGACGTTAATACATCAAGCTACTTTCATCAGTCATCAGTGTGAAGCATCAAGCATTATTAGTTGATACATAAGGCAAAACGGGACAATATGTTTGATAGAGGGGTGGTTGGGTCTAGTTCCGGAGTAGTTAGACAGCCTGAATGAATCGATTTTGTACATATCACTTAGGCTACTCATTAGCACCGGAATTCGGAAGTTCCGGCTTTCAACTGCGCAAAAGTACGGTGAAAGCAATACAGCGTCAATCAGTTGGCTTATTTCAAAACTATGTTTTGCAACTAATTACATCCAGTGCGGTCATTAAATGACATTGACCGGCTGCGTTGCAAAACGTGCAGCAATCTATTTGTGGCGTGATCTGATACTCTTCAGCTCTCTCTTTCAAAACTTTTGCAACTAATTACATCCAGTGCGGTCACTAAATGGCATTGACCGGCTGCGTTGCAAAACGTGCAGCAATCTATTTGTGTGTGGC